TGAAGAAAGGGATAATCCCCAGAGAGTTTGACGGAGGGGGGGATTTAAAAAAATCTCACAACTTTTCTTATTTTTCTAACCAAATCTTTGTCTGAGATTTGATTGTTATTTTTATGCAACAAACAAGAATTAATAATTTTAATATATGTGATCGTTACTCCAACAGCAAATAAACTTCCACGTATTATTAATGTTTATCTCTTAGTAGCAACATCAGAAAAATAATTAATGCAGGATTCATTAAAATAATATAAAATTAATCCTCAAACATTACACCGGATTGAGGCTTTGAAAACGATTCCTCAAACATCAGCTGAAATGCAGATCATTTTCTTGCTGCAGGATTATTCATAACAAAGCTAGGAACCAGGCTGAGTTATAAAAGCATATATATATAGATTGCTTATGTTTTCTCAAATCACAATTTAAAAAGAAATAATTAACATTATAAATTTTTGAATTTTTACCTATATGTGTATATGTTTAGTATAAATTTTGGAAATTATATGTATTCTTATTTTATATAATTTTTACTGATATCAATTAAAAATAACTTATTTTTAAAGTTTTCGAAATTTTTAAGTATTCCCGGGAATGGCTATTACGTGGACGGTAATGGAATAAACCGGGAAATTGGCATCAAATCTAATGGGTGGCCCGGACTCGTGGTTGACGTATCGCAGGATTGAGTCCTAATGTCACTGAACACCCGCCGTGTAGAGGGAATGATGGAAGATTAAATCTATCGTGACAGATAGATTAAATCTTAACTCAGTGGTGCAACAGCCCATGAGGGTCAAAGCCTACAGTGCTCATATCAGTGTACGTGACCTTGGATCCTGACGTGCATCAGTACATGCTTCAATCAGGTTGTCAGTCTGACACGAAACCCCCAGTGTTCAGTTCCAAACAAGCTTGGTACTCATTTATCAACCAACTGAAGAGATGAAAGGCTGAGAGTCAACCTTGCTCAACCCGGGGTTTGAACCTCGGACTTGTAGTGTGGAAGCGCAATGCACTAACCACTCAGCCAATGGGCATATTAAATCTATAGTGGCTAAAATTCTGCCCGTTGGCGTGGCGGGAAATTTCGAAGTGTTCGGGATGACTTGACCATGGTTCAAAATTGCGAGGTCTGTCACCAACAGCTCTCTTGGTCTATAGTGCGATGTTAATATACTCTCAAAAACACTCAAGACAATTACATTGTGTAGATTCTGACACACGTTCAGCTTTTGTAGAATGTAATGATTTTGAAAAGAATGATGTCACAACGACAAAGATATTTGGCATTTAATATCAAGTATTTTACAAATTTTTATTCTCCCCTCCCACTTTTTTCAATCCCTACAATTAGTTCACTCTCTCCCTATATACACTGCTGGACAATTGCTAAGGACGGATAACACTATCATCCATAGCAACCACAAAAAAGAAAGGAAGCAAAATGTGGAAAATTAGAATAAGTGCGGAATATTAGTAAGAAGAAGTATGAGTATGCAAATGTTTTTCCACGTCTGTTCATCACGTGATAGCGTTCATAAGAGCTTTAAAGGTTTTGACGCGTGTGGACAGTTGTTGTTTCAAGTCAAAGTTTTACAGGAAAGATTTAATAGACGAACTTAAAATTTTTTGGCATATCTTCCCGACACCACATAGATGATTTTATGCGTGGCCGAATTATTAGAAAGATCGAAGAAGACGAAAAATAACAGATGTTGCCAGGGAGTTCGACATCGCACACAGCGTTGTTTCACGGCTGTGGAAGTCATTTAAAACTACTGGAATGTGTAGTAGACGGCACGGGGGAGGTCGTGTTAGAAGTACGACGCCTGCAGAAGACAGATATATCGTCCTATCAGCAAAGAGGAACAGGCGCACCACAGCTCAGCGGGTGGCAAATCAGTTTCTTGCTGCCTCTGGAAAGTAGATCTCCCGAAAAACTGTTGCCAGACGTTTGAGGGTAGGAGGACTATACGCACGCAGACCTGTTGTGTGTGTCCCATTGACCAGACAGCACCGTACTGCCCGTTTGCAATGGTGTCGTGAGCTTCACAATTGGACTGAACAGGACTGGGCATGTGTACCATTCTCAGATGAGAATAGGTTCAGTCTGTCATCGTATTGTAGACGCCAACTGATCTGGCGCGAGAGTGGTACTACTTATCATCTAGAAAATATCGAGGAAAAGGACCGATATCTGACATGCAGTATCATGGTGTGGGCCGGCATCATGATCAATGGCCGCACGCGCCTACATGTGGTTGCGAATGGGACTATGAAGGGCCAACGATACATTGATGAAGTTCTACTTCCTCATGTTTTTTTTTTCCGTGGTGCTGTCGGTGATAAATGTGTTTTTATGGACGACAACGCAACATGTCATCGAACACTCGCTGTTCAGGATTGTCTAGACAGCGAGGGTATTCGACGTCTCGTAAGGCCGCCGCGTATTCTCCAGATTTAAACCCCATTGAAAATGTATGGGATGCTTTGGGGAGGCAAGTTGCTGGTCGAAACTATCCTCCGACAAACAAGAACACCCTCATCCGTGCACTCACAGAGGAATGGGATAAATTGCCTCAACAGCTGCTGGATAATGTTGTGCAAAGTATGGTACGACGTGTGGAATGTTGCATCACACTCCACGGTGGACATATCCCGTACTTATACTTTTCTTTAAGGTGCCTGCTGACTTTTAGATACATTGTTCCATTTCTCCGTACCCAGATCAAATAAACATTTTTTTCTTTCAGATGTTTCCCAGCTTTTGTACTTTCCAGAACAATAAATATTCTTTATTCTAATGTCTGAATAGTGTGGCAACTATATTTTATCCTACTGGCCTCATGTCTCGCTTAATGTTATGCTACATAGCAATTTGTGATCTGTCCTTAGCAATTGTCCTGCAGTGTATATATATATATATATATATATATATATATATATATATATATATATATATATATATATATATATATATAATGTTACGAATTTTGTGAAATAGTGTAAATAATTTGTGTGTTTAATGCATTTATATTACTCTATGTTATATTTATTTCATGTAAAAATTGTACTATTCACAAGCAATGCCACCCTTACATTATAATGGCGAAATCTTGGCGGTAGAGCCAAGTTGGCATCATTTTTGGCGGCCAATTTGGCGAATTTGGTGACCATTTTGGTGACTTTGGCGACCATTTTGGCGTCATTCGCGACCATGTTTGTGAGTTCGGAACCCTCTAGAATCTTCTAGAAAGTAGTAGATCTCTCCACTAGTGTCACGTTCCATGACACGAGCGATTATGTTTCTGGAAGTTTCTGTGGCGCCTATAGTGGCCGCGGTAGCCGAGTGGTATGGGTATCGGACCGTGGCTTGCTTTGTCACGGGTTCGAGCCCAGTACCACTAAAAACCCGCCGTGTAGGGCAGCGATGCACGTTAAATCTGTCGAGAGCTGAAACGTCCTCCCGTTGGTGTGATGTGGTAGTTAGAAGAGGGGGTGCCAGCTCAGGTGTCGTCCACGTCACTTGACCATGGTTCAAAATTACGTGGTCCGTCGCCAAAAGCCCTCGTGTTGCTGAACAGTGCGACGTTAATATTCAATCAATCAATCAATCAATCTGTTGCGCCTATAAAAAAAAGATGCTCGCCGGTACGGCGATGAGTCTTGATTAAGCCAGCGAGTAGTGAGGATTGTTTTGACTAGAGATTAGTCGGCTGTGCTTGTGAATAATCTTTACTTATATGTATTTTTAAACACTGATTATTGTGCTTGAATGCTGTTGTAGGTATAAAGACCTTCGGATATTTACACTGTGAATATTGTCGCTGAATCCTGTATTTAAAGGATTGGATCTTTGATAATAATTTCGCATCGCTCTTAAAGAACTGTTTATTTTCTTTGTGATTGTTTTTGTATAAAATCCTAGAACCCGGATCTACGTAACAATATATATATATATATATATATATATATATATACATACATATAGTCGGACCTCTATATAACGAAGTCACTAAATCCCTAAAAAAAGTTCGTTGTATGGAAAATTCGTTATATAGAGGCTCCTCTTTCAATTTCCTTTATAAACCACATAAAACAAATTTTAAATTTATAAACACTATATATTTAAAAGAAGTAATTATTCACACCTTTTTGTAAATTAATATCTATTTATTTTGTATATTTTGCCTATCAAAAAGAAAACAAAAAAAAAACTGCATGGAAGGTTTCTTGATGCCGCTTTCTTTTTCCTGAATAATTATTTGTTATCATTGATTCTCAAGTATTTACGTTTTGACATTTTCGAGATACAAGAAACGAAGCTACCAATACGATTTATCAATAGTAGAAATGAACGGAGACTAGTTCAAGGAAAAGAGAACTCCACTGAGGGTAAAAGGGGGGCATCGAGGATGTTTCTAGTGAACTGAACGATGGGGGTTAAGGGTTGCACTTGGATGAAACGTCCAGAATTATATTGCTCTCTGTGAGCTAGGCACCTTATAAAACCAGTTCAACATTTTTCACCATAATAAAATGAGTTAAAAGAAAGAATAACTTTAAATGTGTGTACAGAAATACTCTTAAAAAAGGAAGGAAAAAATTAAATTACAAGAGAAAAATTTCGTTACATAGAAAATACACTTCGCTATTCGATGGTTATTTTACGAAGAAAATCATGAAGAGCTCTTAGTTCCAGGAAAAAGTTCGTTATAGAAAATTCGCAATATAGAGGTTCGTAATATGGAGATTCGACTATATATATATATATATATATATATATCGTTCAAATTTTCAATCGTTAATAAAATATATATACTATATATTCATCCATTCAAGTTCAAATATATTTTTTTAAACTTGTAGTGTTTGACACTTGATCTTCATACAGATTTTTCAAATATGAATTCACTAATTATATTAAAAATAATTTGTAACAAACACACAAAAATAATAAGTCAACAGCATATATAGAAAGGAAAATGTTTCGTTGTGTCCCTGTAGCGCAATGGATAGCGCGGGTTGGACTTCTAATCCAAAGGTCGTGGGTTTGAATCCCCCCTGGGATAGTCTAATTTCTGAGAATGTGTGATTCCATTAATTTTATTAGAATAATTACATTTAATGAATAAATAAATAGTAACAAAAATAATAGTCCAACACCTTATATCGAAAGAAAATTTGCGATGAAAATCGCTTTCTATTAGGTCACTTAATATTATGATTCTGTCATATGTATATACATATTTATATTAATTGTAATTATTTAGTAAAAAGTAATTAAAATAAAAATTTTCTTTGTTGACCTAAGAAGGAATTGGTTTACATTTTTTTATATTACTTGTTCAAACACAAATTTCTTTAGCACATCAAAACAAATCGGATATACACTCAAATTCTCCTCAACAACAGGGCTGAAAATTAAGATGTTTTTTTCATGTTCCAACTTTCAGGCACTTAAAAACAGCTTTCAACAGATCTCATTATTAGTACAATTAAACTCTTACAATGAAATATAAAATTGGAGTGAACCACTTCTAAACCAAAATATTCATTTTTTTTATCTCGTAGAAATTCTAACTTGTATGCACTAAATAATTATTTCCCTGTCATATTTCGTGATGAGAATAGATATTGAAAACTTCGGAATTTTAATTTTGTTTCGCTTTCCTTTTTCTGAAGAATATATTTGAGCCTCCTGAAATATTTTTGAGGATATTAATTGCGTTTCGTGGAATGGAAATATATTACATTTTTAAAATGTTGAACATTCTCATATATATGATGGTTCGTATGCAATTATAGCAAAGTAAAAACAAATAATAATGAAATTACTTTGAAAATTTGTTAGATGTATGGAAGAAGTATATGTATTAAGATATATATATATAATGGAATGTTAAATTTATTTTAAGGTATTTTCATATACAATATTAGTAATTTATTTATTTGGAAGCATGCATTGCATCATTTTGTGAAAAATTAACTTCCTTTGCATTATATTTAAAGTTAATTTCTTTGTTACTAAAACTAATGAGAAAGAATACAGTGATATACATGCATTAGGTTAACATCATGTTACTCGTTGCAATACCTTTCTGAAAATAATAGAAAATTTGATTATCAATGCATTCAGATTTTGATATTTTATTGTTAAAAAAAGAAAATGAATCAAGCAAATTTGTCTTTTGCTGAACATTTAATTTAAGGTATCCGACTGCGTTCGAAACCGTGATTTTAAAAAGCGCATAAATGGATAAATTTCATGATACTTAGTGTCACTCAGATTAGAATACATGCATATAATTGTTTTAATTAGATTTTGACAAAAAATTTTTATATAAATATAATATTTTGGAAAATAATTAACTTAGAATAATCTTTTTTCCAAATGTTCTCCTTTTGTGAAAAAAGGTTCTATTATAATAATATTTTGCCTGTATATAGCTCAGAGATCTCTACAGAGGCCCAACTAGAATTTTTGAAAAATTCACATTTTCAGAGTTAACACCAATTGAAATAATTATTCGCGCTTTTTTATTAAAATTGCTCCCCTCGGTTGTTGTAAAATATGAATAAACCCACTTCTAAGTTATATATTTCAAAAATTCTAGTTGAGCCTCTGTAGAGTGTTCTGAGCTATATAGAGGCCAAATATTATTATAATAGAAGCATTTTTCATAAAAGGAGAATATTTGGAAAAAAGATTATTCTAAGTTAATTTTTTGCCAAAATATTATACTTAAATAACTTTTTTTTATCAAAATGTCCTTAAAACAATTTTATACATATATTCTAATCTAAGTGACACTAAATATCATGAAAATTATCTTTTTATGCGCTTTTGCAAATCACGGTTCCGAACGTAGTCGGATGCCTTAAACTGCCAAAAAAATCTAAATGCGAATGTAATATTTAGATTACATGAAATTTTAAATGCGATATAAATTCACACTTTGTTTGTACTCTTTCTTTTTGAGCTATAAAAATTTATTTTTATTATTAATACTTTATTATACTTCCGTTAATTGAAGCTGAATAGATTTTTAATAAAAATACCTTAAGATAACTAATATAAAGACCTAAAATAATTTATAATAATTACCTTTTCATAATAATTACTGTATTTTAAAATTTAAAAAATAATTTTATACTAAATTTTTTTAATGGCGTTTTCTAATTTTAAGCTTACAAAACAATTTTAAAAATACATTATTTTATAACCAGTAATTTTAAGCGCCCTTACATGCGTCACATACATGCGTCTTTAAATGAAAATACTGATAAAATGTATCAACTTTATTTGAATTTTTTGCTTGAAAAATTACGGCAATTTCTTTTCTCTAGGTGAGTTAGATACCTGGTAAAACCAGTTCAAGGTCATTGATCACCATAAAATGGGTTAATTGACAGAATAGTTTGAAAAATATTCTGAAATGTCTTAAAAATAGGAAAAAAGTCGAATCACAAGAGAAAAAGTTCGTTAAATTCACTTCGCAATTTGGAGGTTATTTTACGAAGGGAATTGTTAAATGGTTCTTGGAAAAAGTTCGCAAAAAAGAGATTTGTTACATGAAGGTTTCACTGTATACTCTTCCACATTAATTAAAATGCATCTCTCTATGTAGTAGAACCTGTTATTGTGCGGTCTTTTTTTTATGCAATTTTTTTAGTGCGATCTTCTTTTATGCGGCATACGACTTTCAACGACTTCGACGCCACTGTAATATTTTCTATCAATGTACATTTATGCCCTTCAAGACACTCTGTTCCTTTGTTATGAAAAATATCCTCACAATGCGTGGTTCAATTGCTTTCTCTCAACTTGATAGCATCACGCGCTTGTTTGAGGAAGAAACCATCAATGACAGTGTGATATTATCAATAATTTTGATAAATTATGAAGACGGACAAGAAGTACGGATTCTTTGAGAGTGGATAAAATATATGCTGGGATCCAGCTCTCTAACAAATAAAAGCATTGTGATGGGGCTTATTCGCGCCTTCTCACTAATCCTCTTGGGGAATCTTTGAGACCAAATTGCATTATTTCAATCCAATCATCTCAAGAAGAAACCGAGATATGTAGATTAGTTAATGGATATATATTGGAGCTTAAGCATTCGCGTGTCAGTCGGATAGTAAGATAGAGTCGGATAGAAGCTGGATAGTAAGATAGAGTCGGATAGAAGCCGGATAGTAGAATAGAAGTCGGATAGTAATAGAATGGAAAAATAATAGAAGAATAGAATACAAGAAGAGACAGAAAACCGAGGTGCTGATCGCCGTGAGATATTGGTAAGAGATTAATTATAGAACGCGGACTTAAGTTTATTAAGAAGTCTACATTAGATAAAGATTCTGAGAGAATAATTTCTCATAAAGATAGTGATTAGGATTCCAGGCGCTATTTACTTAGAATTTATAACTACGTTGTATCACTCCTGATTACATCCCTCTAGTAAGACTTGTGTTGCGTTGATCAATATATATTTTAGACAATAATAAATTGGATTTATTATGGAGAATTTGGGTGATCAATCATCTATTCCTACAAATCTAGGTCGCGTAGATGAAGAGATGATACCCCCGGGCCGCGGGGTATCACAGCACTTTATTAAAATCGATACTAATTCCGAAAGAAATTACAGATTCTTAAAACAGCTTCAGTCATGCGTATCTGATAAATGTTTTAAAAATGTTTCCATGTGTACTTTATTTATTTATTTTGTTTGGAAGCACTTTCTCATAATTTTTTTTAAATAATTGACGTAATTTCTACATTCCGACTTTTTTTTATGCGGTCTCACTCCGCCACATGAAAAAAAAATTCTGTGGTATGTCGACGAAGTTGTTTGTTTTAAGTCTATGAAATTTTTGAATATTTTCAATTCCTACTATTAGCTCACACTCTATATATTTATTTATTTATCTTGGTGGATTTTTCAATCGTTAATAAAATACATTTTAAAGCACTCCATTGAGCTGAAATTTTATATACATGATTGTTTTGGATGACAATACAGTAATTTAATTATAATCAATAAAAATTAAAGGATTAAAACTAATTATTTAAAGAATTACAAATACAGCCACGTTGGCATCATTTTTGGCGACTTGTGTCAAAACTTGAAAAGTTTTTTTCCTCACATTTTAAAGCGCTCATTTGAGCTGAAATTTTCTATACACTATTGTTTTGGGTAAAAATACGATAATTTAATTATAATTAATTAAAATTAAAGTAGGAATTGATTTACATTTTTTTTAATATTATTTGTTTTTGTGCGGTTTCTTTTAATGTGGTCCCTATCTACCGCACAAAAATAGGTTTTACTGTATCATTTGTAATATTCTTTTTAAAAAATATAAAATAGCATTAGACCTTAAAATTAATTTAAATTGAATAAGAATGTTTCGATAAAAACTCAATAATCAAAATGCATATAAAGCATAATACATAAAATTGCCCGAAAGTAAAATGAATTTTATAAATAAAGGTAAAAATGTTTAGTGAACAGTGCAATCTGACTTTTTTTGTAATAAAAGGCCCTGAATCAAATTATTCTATGTTTTAAAATCGATACAACCTCAGTTAAAAAAACATGGTATTGTAAGATTTATTTGCCGATAAAAGCTGAAAATATTCTTTAGTTAAAAGTTTCCTTTTGTAAAGTTTATTCATATGTAGTATGTATTATTAAAGGAGTTTTAAATTAGAACGTTTTATTAAAATTCCTGTGATAATAAAACAAAGTACCCTTCCCTTAAAAAAACAATAAAATCATATTCTTTAATGAAATTTTGATGCATTTTAATTAATTTAATATTGACATAAATTCTTGAAGTTATTAGGAAAGGTATAGATCAAAAGGGAAAGTCTAGAATAAAAGTTTGTTGATCGATAACAGACAACTGCCTTGAAAATATGATTATCGCTGGCAACATTTATATTTGTGCTAAACAGTAATTTAATTTTTAAACCTTAATCCTTACTAATATTTTAAACGAGAAAGTTTGTGTGGATGTTTGGTACTCTTTCACGCAAATACAACTGAAAGGATTTTCACGA